GGCACTATGGCAGTTCCTGTAGAAACTGCAATTACGATGCTCTTCCTTTAAAGCTTTCTGATTACCACTGAAAACACTCGCTCTACACTGATCATAAAGAAAAAATAATTAGTAAGAGATATACAAATACAGCACATTTCAAGTTTCATTTATATTTAAAAAAATGAGCACAGCACGTTCCCTTAGAAGCTAGAAACCTCCCTTCTGCAAACTGATTTTTTTCAATTTTTTTTTTTTTTTTTTTTAAGTTGCATACAATCATACAGTTCTCTCCAACAGAAGATTCATATCTAAAATCTTACAACTCATTTGGTACACATGTGCTTTGTATCCGTTTCCCACTATGGGAACACTTTAGGCTCTCCAAGCAGTACTCCGTCATTTAGCAAAGAACCATACGGTGTGAAGCTCACAGAATACAGGTGGAGTCCTTATTTATGAGGAGACCATCACTTAAATGGATGATCTTGTCCTGCTCCTGTATGTCAATTAACAGAGGCAGACTGCTTGGAGTATGTAAATCGAATTGCTCAATGAAGTTCTGTATAAGTCTGAATTGGGAAATAAATATTCCTAGATCGTTCGCAGTATCAAACGATCAAGATAAATTCGTTTTGCCAGTTTTAGTGAAGGTCAGCATGATTCACAGAAAGAAAAATGGGAAGAAAGATTGGAGGCTTTTTAGCATTTAGAGTGAATTATTCCTCAGGCTGCCATGGTACGTTCAGGGTAACCTTCAAGCAGAAACTCTGGTGCATTGGGATGACCTCTCTCCCAGCACTAGAGTGTATCTCAATATTTGTACCCAAAGAGGCTAATACTACATTTCGGGCACTACGAAGAGGAAGGAGACAGAACGTTCTGCAGTCTGCTGGAAAAGACTAACCACAGGTCTTCACAAACAGAGCAAGGGCTTGAAACGATCATGAAACCCACAGTCCCCACTACCTGCTTCACATTTTGCTGAGGCTCATTCACTCAAGCATGAAGCCTAGAAACCTCCTAAAATTAAGTCTGATAGATTCCAAGTTGTTTGACAACCTGTAATTAAACGGCACAAACTATACTACTATTTTTGACACTGATCTCATAAACAGTAGTCCCTCAGAAATAAAAAAGAAAACTCAGGTCTAGTTTTAGTGCTTTATGTTTAACTTTATACCTGGTCTCCTCTTACTCACCGTTACACGAAATAATGTATATCATCCCTTTGAATTTCACCTCGCTCTCCTTCAACACACATTTCCTTGACACAGCTTCTCTTTCATGTACTCTTTTGACCATATTGAATGCAAGTTTAGAGAAATGTAGCTAGAATTACAAATAAGTGGGCTTGAGAGACTTGTATAGGAGTGGATTTTCATTATCATCCATATGTTTTCTTTAGCCCAAATTTAGCCTACCTGCAAAACATAAAGACAAGTGAAAGAGATTGTGCCACAGAAATTAAACAAGAAGATACTTTCATTTTTGAAGAAAGTACCTTTGAAGATCTTGTCAAGTAATAGGTTAAAAGAATCTAAGTAACAAACCTAGATGTTGTATCACAAATCTGACTAGTTTACAGTGGAGATTATTCAATAATATTGTCTAGAAAATAAAGTGGATTTCAATCATAAAGCAAAGCATATGATGGCCAAAATCCTCCTCTACATAATTTTGTACGTTTGTACATTGCACCTTGGGATTCTTACTAAGCAAGAAATGGTGCTGTGGCTTATCCCCCCCCCCAAATGAATGAGCTGCTTGTTCTCCTGATCTTCAGAACATTTTTTGCTAACAGACTTTAATCTATCTACCCTTACCTCTTACCTTTTCAGAAGCTGGTTCTTAAAAAAAAAATTGCTTTACTAAGAATAAGCATAGAGAGCAACACCCTTAACCCCCAAACTCTGTAAGTTGAACAGTGCCCAAAGCGACAACAAAGCAGCAAGAAAGTAGTGACAGCCAGCAGCTTGTAACATAAAAAGGGGCAAGGAGTACTGGCTGTTTCTATGTAAAAGACTTCTTGGCTGTTTGCTTAGCTCTGTAATAAAACACTTTTTTTTTTTTAATGTATATTAGACCAACATCACTAAAGCTTAACAAGACGTTAAGTAGCTGACTTACAGCACAGCCAGTTTTTGAGAAGCTACAAAACCAGAATCACTCAACTAATCAGTTTAACACCATCTAAATATTAAATTCTGTACTTAAGATTTCTTTTACCAATTGAGATAGACACTGCAGGAATTTGCATCTGTGAAATACTAGGACAAGTTTCAAGTAGAATATTTTTTTAAATATGAAAAATTGTGCCACCATTACTAACTGGTACACTGATGATACGGACTACAGGGATAACCGTTATTGTTTACCAATCATTTACTCACTCTTCCCCTCTTCCACACCGACAGCCGCTGCTATAATGCTCTTGTAAAATGAACTGTGAAGCGTCAAAGCGCCTCCAAATAAAAATTGAATAATCTATGAGAAGTTACTTTTATTTCCTTTTTTTTAAATATACATATACAAGATATTTTATTTCAAAAGCACAAGAACATTATACAAGTTTCAAATTTACATTTTTGCAATTAAAGATACCAATATGTGCATTATCAAATAACTTCTTCTGTCAGCTTGGATGGAACAGAAATCAGTGGCATAAGCGTCTTGCGATCACTAAATACAGATTATACTCACAGTGAACAAAACTGCATAGTAATTTATGAAATGAAAGATGACCACGCTAGTCAGTGAATGATATGGGAGCCCATTTGCTAAATTAGAATGTGCAAACGTACAGAAAGATGCAACTTTCCTCTCCCACTTCTTCAGCTACAAAGAGATTTCGAGAGCTTGAAACATGAGCTCACCTGCTCAGACCAGCTCCTGTCCTTATATACTACAATTCAGACAGAAAACAAAATAAAGTGATCTCACTGCATATTTGATAACGGAATTTTTGTATCGTGAAGTGCACGGTAACTGTAAGGTTTTGATAAATGAATAGGTAGATATCAGAGGGAAACAGTAAGTGAATACAGTCTTGGTATCAACGAGCCATACGTTTGCTAGTTTTAATCCAATATTTTTGTTGGTAAGTAGTGTTTTGATGACCTTAGAAATTGCCAGTGCATACAAGTTTTCATGACAACTGTTCTTCTATATTCAGTATGCATTTCAAATACATTTTAGAGAAGACTAACAGAATTAATGTTTGTCTTTAAAGAGTTTCATATTCAGGTTTAAAATCCGAAAGAATCAAAATAAGGAGAATGGTCTTAATTGCAAGAAACAGAATACCTGAAAAATATACCAAAGCCAACTATTTATATTGCCAGGGAACAATTATAGCAAAAGTTATAAAAAAGTATTTGAAATCAGAAGAATATTTGAGTTCATTGGTATTCCATTTTTAGATGAGTTACGGTGCTGCTCAGTGCACTCATACGTAATCTAAAAACTTTTAAAACCTAGGAGAACAATGATATTTAATGCTAAATCATTATTTGTGATTCTACTATCTCTCATACAAACAGTAGCAAAAAAAATAAACAAAATCATACAAAGACACACTCTCAGACATTAATTTGAAAACCTCCCCTCGCAAGCCCTATTAAAATGACACAGAAGAATCCAAATAGCAAAGGGGTGGGGAAATTTAGAGTACTGACAACTTCAAACTTTCACATAGAAATGGAATTTCCTGGAAAAGCATTTTTACCCATCACATTACAAATTCTCTCACGTATATTATGGCTGAAATTCAGAAAATAGAACAACAAACATTTAGAACTGAAGCACAATCACATATCATTGAGAGAGAGTCCAATCACAATGTGCTATTAACTACTGAAGGACAGAGACAAACTTAGACACCTTTTTTTTTTTTTTCCTCCCTCTTTTCTGCTCTAACTGGCACCGAACCACTGAACACACAATTTCATTTATGCAGGCAGGGCTCCAAACAATAGCGACAGAGGATGAAGAGTGGAAAATTCCTCAAATATGGGCAAACTAACTTATCTCTGATTCTAAAACTTGCTGCTTTTAGGCCTTGGTTTTAGTCCAGTGATAGCTTTGAAGGTCTTCTACTTTACTGAAGTCTCTGGCTCTTGTATAATTTGCAGAGCTACACTACAACTACGTAACAGTATTTTCACATTTGGTTCTTGGGGAAAAATCTCAGAAGAAAAACTGTATAAGAAGTAAAACTAACCACAACCTAGCCAAATGGTGTAGCCCTAGACCTCTTAGGATATACAACATTACGAGAGGACAAATTCATTAGATAAAGTGCAGTTCTGGCAATGCAAAAAGCACAGACTTTATTTTTTGATGCAACAAGCAAGATGGTAATTCCCCATGCACTTTCTACCCCACACTTCTCCTTTAAAGACTTGATTAATGAAAACACTTCATTAAATCCCAGCATATAGCTGAATGCAGGCTTTTTCTGTACAACTTAATGTTTGCTGTACCTGTTGCTACAAATTACTAAAGGCCTGGCACCACTTCCAATCCAATACGATGCCACAGATCTTGACCGATTTAAAAGCTTCACTAAGCTTGGGAAAAGAACCCAGGAAGAAAGTAAAGGAGGCTTTTCCATAGCAACACCATTTAGGTATATTCTCAAGGCATGGAAGAGACAGAAACGTGGTATGTGCCCTGAAGCACAGCATTTGGGAAGCTGTCCTCGTCAAAACATGTGAGACTATTAGAACTTCTCAAAAAAGTGGAAAGATTTCTGGACCTGAATGTTCAGTAATAATTACATAATATGATTTACCTCTTTTTTTTTTTGGGGGGGGGGGGGGGGAAAAAAAAAAAAAAAAAGAGCAAAACATATGACATGAGATTCTGTTTCAATGTGTCAGTAATACATCCAACCTCGAGAATCCATCAATTGTGTCTGAACTACAGAATCCACTTGAGAGTAGATTGTTTACTGCCACCCTCCTTTCCTTTTCCAAAGCACTGCCAAAGGTAAGAGTTTTCACTAAAAATCAAGAGACTCAGAGCAGTTGCCAGTTGAATCCAAAGAAGAACTGATTCGTTTCTTGGCTCCTGGCAATCTCCTCTATGATGCAGTGTTGCTGCCATAGCAGATGGAGCTTCCGGTAACGCTCACGACATAAGTGCAGGGGATTGCCTCTTCTTTATAGAACAAAAAAGGAGAACACCCAATAAGCATATTAGAAGAGCAACTGACAAGCTGTTAATATTCTAGCATTATCGCTCTTAATGACAGCCAGAAAATATTAAATACTTGTAAATACTTGTATGAACACCAATTCCAACAAATCTGCGGGAAATGAAAAAAAATGTGACAAGCAGCGACTGCCATTTCCAAGATGCCGTTTCAGCAATGGCAGTTGCACATTTCTGATGAAAAGCATGCAAAGTATTCTTGAGAAAAGTAAGAAAATTTAACAGTACCAAAAAAGTATATTTTTCATTATGAACGATCAATTCGTGACTGGAAATTTGAAGTTAAACAAGTTCACCAGCCTAGATACATGTTACAGTGCTGTACATGCTAGCAGGAAGAACATGTTGTCTAATGGGTACACAAAAGAAAAAGACACCAAAATGGAAATGTAGAAAGAAATAAAGTCAAACATTTACTTACTTCAGACCTGGATCTGTTTCTCCATATTCATCCAAGTAGGGAGCAGGATATAAGCAGCCCCTGGTTTTACCTTCAATGAGGACAACTTTGCATTCCCTGATTCTTAAGGAAAAAACAGCTACATTTAAAATACAAGACAACTCCCAGCAGGTTCTTAACTTTTTGATGAGCTACATTTTAAGTCAAAGCAATGTTTCTTCGTCTCAGACAAAACGAATCAAGCGCTTTGACAATCCCTTTACTTTTTTAACACATTGAGTTCTGGCTAGCTACTTACTTGAGAAACACACAGACTCCAGCTCCACATTGAAGAGCATGAGAAGTACAGGCTCCCAACTCCTCCCCATTCACCAGTTCCTGACAGCAAGTATTCTGGGAACACAATATAGCCCCACAGAATAAACACAATACTGGATGTTTTTGTTCATCATCAGAAGACCGCGGGCACCTAGAAGAAGTGTAAGCAGAGTGTTACTGCAGGAATTAAAACTTTAAAAGAAATGTTAACTATGGATAATGTTCCTTAAAAAAACACCAACACCACCACAAAAAAAACCCACACCACAAACAAAGACCTAAGACACACTACATCATAATCATATTTCACATATCTGCCTACTTTGGCTATGTTTTTACATCACTTGAAATATTTTATCTGCAAGATACCTGCTTTGAGCAGGAGATTGAAGTAGATGAACTGCTGAAGTCCCTTCTAACCTGAATTATCCTATGATTCACTCTTCCTGGCATAAAACAGTGCCAACCTTCTGGACTTGTTGTATCCAGTGCAAAAATAATTTTCAGACTTGTGGCCAAATCAAACGCACATTGGACTGGTGGAAAATGACCAGCAGACCAAGCTATAATAATTGTATATGCTATCCTTTCAAACAAAAGTGACTTCAATTACTAAGCTGTTGTGTTTCAGATTTAAAATGAACATATGCTAGTATTGGCCAGTATCACCGCCTTCGCTTCTGCAAAATAATTTCTGTACATAGTTTTAAATACCAGTTACAGTAACTGCAAGAATATAAAAGTGACAACACAACTAGGAAGACAACTAAATATGTCACATCTTACCTAAACTGAGAGGCTTGGTTCAGAAGGCAGCTATAGTCTTCAGGAAGGTCTATTAAACTATTTCTTTTCCTAGGATACCTGGGTAAGTGAAAAAGAACTATTATGAGGAAAATAAAGATCGCAGCAAAGAACAGAATGGATAAGTATAAATTCCTGCTAAGCCTGCAGTCCTTTCTGCAAACTTCTGCAGTTCTAGAGCAGTTCTTCAAGTCCTAGAAGCCCAAGTGAGAAGCTCCACATGGGAGCTTCAGCGTTTCTATATTCCAAAGGTGATGAAATTTAATTTCATATGTAACCTACATGTATGAAGACACTTCAAACTTCAGTTAGCTTTTGTTTTTTCCTAGACTAAGCTAGATAGCTTGTCCAACGATGTTGTACACACTCAGTGAAAATTCACTGCATGAGGAGTAATACACAACCATGAAAAGAGAAATGTACTTTTGGTAGTAGAGCAGGAGGAAGAAAATACAAGCACTCTAACCTGCCCACAACAAGCACTTCATTCTTTGCACAGTTTTAAGTGAAAAACAGAAGAAAAAGCAACAATAACAACAAAACCAAACTTACGTTATTGCAACGCTTTTCCCCTTCAAACAACTTAACACCACCGGGTCAGCACACCACCTATTTCAAACAAACATTTGCAGATGACAGTGTTTGATAACAATATACGTTTAGGATCACTAAACTAAACTAGTAAGCAATAAGCAAAGACAGAGCACAGATAAAGCACTGATAGCTCTAGCTGAAACTTCGCAAGGAGAAACAGCTATTCTTTACAGTTTTGCTTCAGGAAAAGAATTTAAGTTTCTATACAAGATAAAAACCTACATGAAAACCAATAATGCTTAGAATTATCAACATGCACACGAAGACACAGAGTTAACACAGAATTAAAAAATGCAAGCAATCTTCAGATGTATTCAAGTTCTCCAAGTGGGCTACAATACACAGCTCCTTTTGGAATATATCTGCTGAAAGTCACAGCGTAAGAAATGTGAAGTACATTCTACTTGGAAAATATTTATTGCTTTTATTTAATAACCATCACCCAATGGTTATTTTACAATGCTTTATTGCATGTAGTATGCTTGCTTAGGATGGCCAAATGTGTCTACCAAAACAACGGTAGATATTGGCAATTTACTAAACCATGGAATTGGTATGTCTAAGATACCTTGCAAGTTATTTCTACAAAAAAGAGGAGAAGAGAGAGCGAAGCGTAGCAGATGGTCACTCTAGTACGCCTCATTTAACACATTTCTCAACAATCATCAAATTTAGTTTTCTGAAATAAGATTCTTTCTAAAAACATATGGGAACTTGCATGATGATTTGACAACTGTTACTATGCATTAAATATGTAGCCTCCTACAGCCTCCTCTGTTTCTGACTGGGAGCACTACGATGGATTTGTTAGCACTGCCTCTGGGGATCATTTGCTAATGTTCACAACCATCTATCCTCTGTGTTCTACATGGACTGTAAGTTAGAGTCAACAGCTCAAAATGTCCCTAAACTGAAAGAAATCTAGACAACAGAACAGAACGGGGGGAGAAGACCAAACCAAAAAACAACCAGGAAAAGCTGGTGGGAGCCAGAGAATTCTGCCAAGAACCAGGAATAATAATTAATGCAACCAAGTGCACAAAAGGTCACATTAAATACATGGAGACATTCTGCAAGGCAATATAGCAGGATTATTCTGAGTTAGGGGGGAAGAGGGTACCTGTTTATTTTAACTTGTGTTTTTGAATGGAGAATTTTATCGATTATTTCTTTACTGCTAGATTGCAATGTACTAATACTCAAATTGTACCTTTTAATCATTAAGCTAACTTTGACGTTCCTCAGTATTTTGCAAATCCAGAGAATAGCACAAAGCCTACATAAATTTTCCATATTCTCATTCTATAGCTCGTGTAATCAGCACTTTTGCTGTAGACAGATTAAAAATAGGCCAGTGAACAGTAAGGGGCATACCATGCAACCAAAGGTTTACGATAACTTCTTTCTGCATTGAATGATTGAATGATGCATGTCCCATAAGCTATAATTATTTAACATTGAATTACCACAAAATACAGAATGTCTTATGTTTCTGAAGTGTTTTAAGAGATTCAGTATACCTGTGCACATCAAACAAATGTTTAGAACTCCAGTAGGAATTGGAGCTCAGCCATTTATTAAGAAATTTGATCCTGACTTCCCATCAAGCCATCACAACAAAAAAACATGGCCTGTCCAGTCCCAATTAGTACCTTTGAAGCAGTGGATTTACTGTGTCCCAATATTCCTGGAAGAGCAAGAACAGATTGGTAGGCAGAGAGAGGTAACTACAAAGTGCCTTGAATTGCCCTTCTTCAGAAACTGGAAAAGAAAAAGAAAACATGAGCAACTGTTAAAGTGTTTCAGCACTGCTGACTAATTCACTTAAAACTAGGAATCTCCTGATCCCTTTTTCATTGAATAAGAAGTATGTTGCAGCTTCAGCATAGCTCCTAGCTAGTACAATGAGGTGCAATCCCACTGACTTAACCAGAGCTACAATAATTTGCATTAGCTGAGGATCTGCTTTAAGTTTAACAAATTTGACATATATTACGTAATTTTTAAGTCGTGCATAAGTCACTGCAATAACAGAATTCCTTGCTTAAATTCCATTTCACTGCAGAATATGTAACACATTAGTGCAGCAGATTTCTGTACTTACCACATTTTAGCTTTTGACTATCCTTTTGGACTGCAAGGATAGCCAATTTTTCTATGATCACTTACACATTACATAAAGTTGGGTTAATTTAATAGTTTGCTGGGTGGTCATTTATTGGCTCTGCTACAGAAAATGACACTGCTGATTCACCAGGAAGACTCCTCCCTATAGAATCAAAGTTCCAGACTAATGGTAAGGACAATAGCATATCCCAAAGTGCAGAGATTTTGACTTGTACACCCTAATCATATTCAAACTTAGTTCACAGTTTACATAAATCAATTTAAGATGCTGTATTTTGCCTCAGTTGTTCATAGTAATTTTGGTCCTCCTTTCCAAATAGTTGATGGTTCTGTGGTTCACTGCATTTTGACAGCCGACAAAATAATATAATATAAGCCCCCAGAATTATCTTTAAATCACAGAATCTTTGTATCCACAAATACTTATCAATACACCATTGATAGTTCACCTATTTCCACATACTCAGAAGTAACTCTTTTCCATGCAAAGAAGGCCGAGCCAACTCAGCTTCTCATGCTTGCCCCTTCCTATACAAATTAGTATTTCTTTTTCTTTCCAAGTCTTACTTTAACGTATTGAGTATCGTTAAGTTATTGCGTACCTTTAAAAATTCCATTCTTCCAAGAAAACAGTAAGCAAAGTCAATATATAGATATACTTGCTTTCTCATATTTACCTTGTAGTAGCTCCTCAGGTGGAGAAACTCCCAACAAATAATGAAAAAATAAAGCAGCACAGCGAAGGTAAGGCATGATGCCTTTTTTAACACAATCCCACACAAGCCAGCCTGGAATATCCTGACTAAAGCAACTGTAATACACAAATGAGAAATAACTGCAGTAGTTCACAGTGCAAATCCTTCTAGCACTTTCACATTTTGGCTAGCATTGGTAGAACGGCAGCTGGGTAGAAGCAACACTGATGTACCCCAAATTCTGTGAAACATAGCCATCAGCACCTAACTTCTGACTTCCCCTTTGCCTAAGGAACAAGTATTGAATTTATGTAGAACACTTACATTAAGCCTTCAAGTCATCTCAACTTATATTTTTCAGAACTATAAAAAACAAATAGCCAATACATAGCTGTCCATCTCTAGGTAACTCAAGATAACCTGATTTAAACTCTGCGATACAGCATCACGCATAGAGCAATTGATTTTTTTTGAAGTGGTGAAAGTTTTCCATTCTGTTGGTATTCTGAATGCAGTTCAAACATAAGGAAAGAAACAAACAACTAATATAAATACTCTTCAGGAACAACAAAACCAACACAATTAAAAAATTAATACCTCGTACTTCGCTATGGAAGTCACAACAGTAACCCTCAGATTGTTTAAAATATAATAATCCCACTTTTGACAAGAAATACCAGAGTGATACTCATCTCAGTAATTATTCTTGTAGTTTGTGCGATATGAGCATTTGGTCTAAAATACATAGAACATTTAACTTACTTACAGCGTCCCTGTTTTCTAAAATTTTTAAACTTAGTTAAATTTACATTTACGTGAATAGGATGTTCACACAAATGTTGACCAGGACCTGCTGGGGAACAACCTGTAAAGCTGTATTATAACATCATAGGCTATTGCAAAATTATTATGCAGATTGTGCTGTTTAAGCACAGATAAGTCAGACTTAAAAAACAACAACTCATATGCAGAAATTAAAACACTAAAAATTTCAGAGCTGGGTTGCCTAAACTTTGGCATTTAATTCTGTACCTAGGCATCTCAGTTACCATGACCTGATTTTCCAAAAGGCACAGCACCTATGATTCTAGGCTCATGCCTCAGAAAAGTTACTCTTATTATTTAGGTAGCAAATTTTAAATATTTAGAAATTTAGACTTAAAACTTTTAGACAAGCGAGTAGTGTTGTCAGCCCTTGAGAAACATATCTTTGCAACTAGCCTCAGTGAAGATAAATCAAAGCAAATTTGTAGTGGGTGCATCCATATTTTCTAGCTTATTTCACACACATACTGAAGTACTAAAGAGTCTGTAGGTACATTTATCAAAAAAGTCTGAAAAGATGGGCACTAATGCTCAAACAAAAAGTAACTGTGTTTATCTTTACACTTTTCCCCCTCTTATAGTCGAACCGTTTCCTTCATTCTCTAATTGAGACATTTAAAAAAAAAAAAAAAAATCAAGGCAAAGAAAAAAGAGCTACTACAGTTAGAGATTGTGTTTCTGTCCACAACGGATATAGGTATCTTTTCATCCTTAGACTAGGAATTTACTCTGTTGTCCACAAAAAGTAGCTATTCTAACTAAAAGTGTTCCTTTTGCGAGTTTCCTTTTTTTCAGTGTTCAGGAGTCTGGGAAGCACGCAAAAGGCATTATGCTAACTCCCCATACAAAATGGGTAATTTTTTTCTTGTTTTCTGTGTTGTTCAGGTCAATTCCTGTGGATTGCCATCTTTCTAGGAAAACGCAACGCTGTAACTGAACTGCTACTTACCCACTGGTGTACTGGCAAACCTCTCTACAGAAAGACTGTGCAGACCGTGCCTCCTCACTGTTGTCAGATGATGGAGCAGTAGGGGATTCTGCACACAAAAAGATGAATCCCACTGTAAAGGCACTTCATTTGTGACACACTTCTCTTTTTACATACACTGAGCTTTTTTTTTTTTATTATTTAAAAACTGTGCTACAGAAATATTTCCGCTTTGTTTTGCTTAGTTCTTTTCTATTTGCTCTTTTTAACCTAACAAATGTTCTAAAACTGCATGCTATAAAGAAGAATCAGGATTACTGCCTCATTGCTCATCCTCACATAAAAACTGCCTCCTTCCCTTGAATTTTTGAAGTTGTCCTACACAGATTAAACTACAAGAATTTATTATTTTTCTAATTGCCATCATGTGGAAGAAAAAGGAAAGTAGTAGCTAGGAAGCCTGTAGGTTACTGACAATTTTTAACAGTCAAATGAAATACAGAGAAAAGTTAAATTCTCTCCTATCAGTTTATAGGATTCTGTATTTCAGCTCTGGGTATTTACTAGGTTGAAGCATAAAGAAAAGTTTATTTCCTAAATCCATACTAACTGTCACTGCACAGGTCAGAGTGCTGCTGCTGGGCAGAACTTTTTCTTCTCCTACAAGGAGTGAAGAGGGGAAGATACCACTCTGGAATGACTGACTTGATCAAGTACTGATATATCAATAACTATTTTGTTTTCTTAAGCTAAACACACAGAAGTGATATAACAAAATGGTCTGAAAGTGATGTAGTGCTATTATTACTACCTAGCACTAAGTGTCATTTATTATAAGGAAGTTTACGCCTGGAAGACACTAATGGTGTCCTTCCATTATTTTTAAGAAATTGTGTAAAAATGCCAGAATAATCCAACCCAAATACACCTCTACCTGTTGCTGAAGAGATGACGATTTGCGTTATGTGTGCCAGTGTTGTCAGATGGAAGAGGTAGAGGTGGTTATAGGCTGAACTAATTGATGAAGGTTGCAAGTCTACAGCATCCTCCCAGTATAAAGATGGAAATGATAAAACAACTCCCACCTAAAGGGAAAGGGAAGGAGCAAATATTGAAGTAACAGAAATTTGGCAATAGCTACATGGTTAATAGAAATTATATTCTCACTAAACATTTATATTTAATTTCTGTAGTCAATTTAAATATGCTCATTTAACTTGCTAGCTTTAATTCGGAAGTGTAGCAAAAACTCATTGGAAAATCTTAACCATTTGTGCCCCTGTAGCATGTAGGAAACTCAGATGTAGTTCCATTGTAATTGCCAGTTTAGAGATACACCAAGAAAGCTTGTCCAGTTCCTAGGAAAGCTTAATCTTTGTTTTTTGACATAAGACAAAGCACACTGAAAAAAAGTGAGGAGAAAGACCAAGCATTGGTTAGAAAGGCAACCATGGCAAAACAGGTTTTATTTTGGTGGTTTTGGATTTTGGGTTGGGTTTTTTTTGTTTTTTGGTTTTTTTTGAAGGGGGAGTTTGTTGGATTGTTTTGTTTTCATTGGGTTTTTTGTTGTGTAGTTTTGTGGTAGAAGGAACTATAATACAGATTTGTATTAAAAATGGAAAGAAGAGGCTAAGAAGAGTAAAGAAGGTAATAAGAGTGAATGTGAAGGCTCAGAAGGTATGAGACCTATTGAGAAGGGAAAGTGAGGGAAACAGACTGAGTGTATACATTTCGGAGGGTTTTTTGGAGGTTTGATAGCAATGGAGGTAGTAAAAAGATGATTGAGACTGCAAAATTTAATAAAAGTAAGACAGCAAAGACTTGAAAACTAGAAGAACAGCAGAAGGAAAAGTAAACACTCACATATAGCAGCCATACGTAATCGTTTACTTGTATGCAGTGCTCACGTATAATCATTTGACTCACACAAGTGAACAGATAATGCAGGACTATCTACAGGGTATAGTACATAAAAATCCATGCTCAACCTCCCCATTTCCCCCCCATTAATATGAAGAATAAAATGAAACTGCTTACCAAAATGTGGAACATATCTACTTCTAAAAGGGAGGGAGTGTCCTCCACTTTAAAGTTTGGTAGAAGAACTACAAAATAAAGGTATCGGTTATACATTTGCTTTTTTTTTTTTTTTAATTGAACTGCAATTTCAGAATCTGATTTTAGAGCCTCTATCATTGCTGTGTTTCCATCAAAAAAACCGTCCAAGTCTGAACTAAGGAAGTACCTATTTAATTAACTAGTTACCACTTACTTAATTGATTGTGCATCTGTTTAGCTATTTCCACATGCCCAATCAGCTCACAATTTTAATGACTATGTCTTCAAAATTCAAAGGTAAAAATCTTTGATTTTTTTCTCCAGCTTTAATAAAGCACACAGTGTCAAGGCTGAAGTCCACAAGCATAGTTAGGCGCTGCAGCACTAGATGCCTCACAACCTAGCCCGATACAAAAGCCTGTACCGTGCCTAAGAATCCTATTGAACGGAAGGCAAGTCAAAGGGTGAGATTCACAAAGGCCACCACGCTAACCTAATCAGCAAGAAACGTGGAGGACAGTTATGTGTCTCAAACTAGCTATCCCAGAGATGAAAATATCTTAAACCAGGCTGCAAGCAGCCTTTTGAAAGTACTAAAAAGATTTAGTCTCACAACTAAGAGAGAGGAATATCTGGTTTGTGACTTTATCCACCTGTTTAGCACAGAATTTGAGTAATTTTGAACATTGCCAGAAACAGATTGTTAACCATCTGTAAATATTCTAGATCTGAGTATCTCCAGGCCTACGTAATTTGGGATAGAGGATTTTTTGGGGACTTCAGTGTATGGTGCTGGGTTAATAAAATTATTGATTATTTAGTTCAATAAATACTCCATGATTTCAAGCAACATTAGAGAAACTGAAGTTAGCACTGCTGTCAGGAGTCTAACTTTTGCTTCTATGCTCTATTAACGTGTGTGCCATTTTGCAATAGAAGCTTCTGCAACATGAAAGGTAGTAAAGAAAAGGAATACAATACCTCCTAGAAGACGAACCAGATGTTTCTGAATCAGGACCTGTGGTGATGTTGTTCTCTGAGCAGCTGCAAACTGCACTAATGCTTTAAGGCCACTGTGCTAGAGCGCAAGAGAAAATGGTTGGACAGGAAAAAGGGAAAGATATAATAGTGAAATAAAGCTGTAAAAACTTCTCTACTTCTGCAAACAGAAAACACATTGATCAGTGAATTTAATATGAACTTCAACGTATATGCAGAAACATGATTCTTCCAAAATGCTCTTTATGTTATCGGTCTAACATTTTGAGAGCTATCCCTCCACAGAGGGATAACATCTTGCTAACAACTTGACGTTAGCAGTTTCAACAGTAAGTTTTTTAGACATGTGTATTATGTATGTTTATAAACTTTTTTGTTTAAAATGTATTGCATATCTTACTTGCCCATACCTGTCTATTTTGTAGAGATCCAAATAAAGGCTTGCTCTCCGTTTCCAAGAGGTTTTCTTAAAAAACACAGAAAAAATTAAATTGCTTTGTTCTACAGGAACTAACATAACATTTCTGTTAGAATACACTTAGTCCAAGATTAATTTATTCTTAGTATATGTACTTCTTTTTAAAGTTCAACTTTATTCTGATAAGAGAATTCTCTTGAAAAAATCTAGCTTAAATTGTACTGAATGATTCCCAGATAAACAGTTGTAACAAGCTTTTTAAAGACATTTGGTTTTCAGTTCTTGCTAACTAGGGATTTAAAGGAACACTGTTTCACATGAACGATAAGACATTCTACGGATTTAGTTGTATTTTCAATTCCCCTTACACAGTGCTCAAAACCATCAAGGTATGTTTACAGGGATGCTATACAGCCATCTTACCCTCAGACTTGCACTATTGGATTTGACTGTAGTTTAACAAACATATTTTGAAAACAAAATTCCCAAACTAGAATACAATTCAGCTTTCTTCCCTGAATGCATTGGTTCTGAAGGGATAATCAAGACAAAATAAGCTAGTAAAAATAACAAACAAAATTAACTCAATTGAGTAAAAAGGTATCAACTAAAATGTTTGTGCTTTAGTCACTTTTCAGAGATGAGTAAGTACAATTCAAGATCTTGGAATTAATATTTTTTTTGCTTTCATTGGGGGTTTTTTAGTTGGGAAGTTTTTGTTCGTGGGTGGGTTTTTTTTGTTTTGGTTTGGTTTGGTTTGTGGGTTGTGGTTTGTTTTTTTTTTTAAATCAACTCTAACAAAAAATGGAAGTGTTTTAACTTAGCACTTCCATACCTCAGTTTAACACACAAAATGTGGCGTTGCTGAGGAAATATGGGAAAAATCAGATTTGTACTTTTAAGTGTCTGGCTTTAGGCAATAAAAGCAATTCACATCCCTTGGGTCAATGATGCTTTGAACATCTTCTAGAGACTCCACTAATACAGGCAGCTAAGGATCCTTGTCTAGGCTACTTGGCTACATGCCTGTTAAATGGTTTTAATAAGACTCAAACCCAGCATACTAGAAGCTATGTAGCAGTTTTGCTTTACAATTTCATGGAAGCCTGCTCTATTTGTAAACAAAAATGAATTATCCAAGGAAGTGGTGTGGCCTAGGATAGGTCAGACTGTCACAGTGGTTGCTCTGGTTTTATAATCTTGGCCTGGTAAGGCATCTGAATTTTCCAATTCTGACATAGGCCTTCATATCCTATCTGTGATAACAGTTATTGCATTTATACACTTGCTAGCAATCTCATCCCTGACACCACCAAGGTCGTTTTTAGATATTTAATGAAAACAATTTGCACAGCATTAAGTGCATTAATGTTAATAGAGCTGGGTGGCTTCCAGTCCTCTCCTGACCCATTTGAAAACTCTGATAAAATCCAACACTAAAAAGATGCAGTGAGTTCCTGTGACTATTCCTGCCTTATCAGAATATTCCCAATTCTCCTACAAACCTTTTGAACTCTTGACATTCCAGTTGGGTCAAGTCCACTATATATTTAATGTAGACTACACTTGTAACTCAACAGTTTCATCAATAAAAAATGGCATACTTGGCAAATCATATTTATGGAGATGTAGGGTTATATTCGCAATTCCATCAGCATGCATTTCAGGCTTATCTCTTGCCTCTCTCCCTGCCTGGAAGCCACTACAGATTTATCTACAACTTTATGTTTACTACACAAACTTCTTTGTGTATATAGTACAGAAATGAAATGAGACAGAGCTAAACAGGTATGCTAGCCCAAAAAATGCAATCATTTTTATGGTAATTACTTTGCCTTCAAAAAGGGATTCATGCTAGACAATGTTTGGGTCGTTTTTTTTTCTACCAGGTATCTGCTTAGCAATTTCATTATACAAAAGACCATACTACTTCTACAATTTCCATGAGAATTCTTCAAGAATAAGAACTAATGAGAGAGAGTACTATTTCATAGCTGTTAGACATTCAGCTGTGCAGGAGTTTGCCTGCAGGTCAGTGATCTCTGGCAGCCTGAAGACATTCATTGAATATGCTTAATGTTACAATTAGTAACATGGAATATGATCACTCCCTGCTCTCTCAGACTAAACTCAGTGTTGCCATTCCACACCCTACATTATAAACCACCATCTAACAAAAGCAGCATATTAATTATATTGGATTATAGATTATCATTCTATTATTATATACGTAATTACATATAATATACATTGTTACACTATTACATGTTGCTGTATTTATGTAGAACTATTATTATTCAGACAATCAGAATTTATAAAATTATATAATCAAACAACTGTAAGATTTTCAATTCACAAGAAGGAATAAACCCAAACTATGCTTTACCTATACACTGGATGGTAAAAGCACATGTGCTCCAGGTCATCATAGGAATCCTGTAATCAGCTTCATTTGGAGCAACTTTTAGCCCAACTCTGTAAATGGTGGTGGCAAAGAGAATAAGCATCTCCTTGATACTGCTTGAGTATTTGGCTCTGCAAAATAAGCCAAGATAATTTCAGTCTGAATTATTAATAGTGCTTATTACTTACTGGTCAATCTCTAACAAAGTCTAAGGTATTTATGAAAGAATTCTTGAATACGAAGGCCCTTTGCCTGTACAGAGGAGAAAAAAAATTCTAGTTTCCGTTAGTAAACAAGTGCCTTGACATAACAGGCTCCACAAATGGAGAGGTTAAGAGCTGCCAGGCTGGAAGGAGTCTATTTCCGTTTACTGTATTATAATTCCCATTCACAAAATGCAAACATTTAAATCAAAGTAAAATACAACGAAAAAAACAAATGTGAGGAATCAAGTGTAATTATAAGTGCCAAAATGAAAATATATCCCATCTCATAAGGCACTAAAAAAGGAAAGACAGACATTTCATATGCCTTTTTAGCATTTAAGCTCCTCTCAACTGACATCGGCTTTGTTTATGTATATACAGTTATGTGCAGAAAAGTGCCTAGGCAAAAACTGGTACAGTTTTAATGGCTTGTGTTTTTTCAAAATCTTACACAGAACTTTCTAACAGAAACATACGACATTCATATTAATTCTCCCAACCTCTACAGCTAAAACAATTGTCTGGGGATTAGCCAGGCTCTTACTTAAACATAACATCGTTTAAGTGCAAACTATGGAATCTTTCCCACAGAGACGAGTTATCAAGAAAGAATTTTGATTCAACTATGTTGTCAGTCAGAAGTAGCAGAAGTAGAGTACTTATACAGCATGATCTAAATAGAAGACAGGCAGCTGTCTGTCTGATGCTTTTAAAGTGTACTTTAAATCCACTCATTCTGTTTTAGGGGGAGAGTGCTTTTGCCCACTGGAATAGAAACAGACAACACAGCCCTACTCCTTTGAGTTATCTATGTTGCATTATTGCGTCCAAAACCAAGCGAAATCTATCCCTGAAACAGACATACAGAAGAAAAATTAAGGCAGACAGACATTAAATAACTTGCTTAGATGCACAGGAAGTGACCCAAATCATTGGAATTGTGGATTAGAAAACTCTAGACTCCTAGCTTTGTACCAAGAACATAAGTAGTACCAGACTGGATTTGACTAAGAGATCCATCTAGCTCTGTATAGGTCTGATATTCAGTGAATGCTTAAGGAAAAGTATAAGTATGCTGACATTCAGACCAAATAAATCATATGCCTTTCCTTCAATACAGATCCTGAAGTATACCTAGGTTATTTTAGGGAGAATTAACATAATGCAGAGAGCACTTCCAGTAACACTTACGAGGACTGAACTCCAAAACTAAGGATAGAATGGAATTCCAAAGCAGAGGTCCCCATTCCCTTGTTGGTGAAAGCTGGAAGATTTTGTTTCTCTCCTTCCAGAAAAAAAATAAAATTAGATCCACATTAAAAAACAAAGAAGTTCTTACAGTTTTTACAGCAGTCTAACAGAAGCGAGACTTCTTTTTATTTTAAACTAGTTTGAAAAATAATTGTAAACAGATCTCACCAGCCAGACTGTCTTCTAACACTCCTCCTTAAGTAACATTTTCTTATATTTCCAGAAATATTAGAAATAAAAGTAGTGCTTTTCTGTTGAGGAAAAGGACCTTTCCTGTATTGTAAGAGCGCAAGGAGTACATTGATTCTCTGTACCTTCTGTTTTCTAAACACTCATACATATTTTTATTTTGGCCCTTTTAATTTGATTTTTCTCTTTTTTACTACATCACAGTCAATACAAACATTTAAGTAACTGAGTGTTAGTTGGTGGCTATCCTCTCCAAGTGCAAATAATTTTCTTCTACAGGGAAGTGGAAAGAATTTAGCAGAAACCAGGAAATTGGTGAGAGCACTGTGAAGTCAAGACATAGCTCAGAAAGGGCCATGACTTCATCCCCAGCTTTATTTGATACTCTCTTGATTGATAGCAGAAAGTATTCTTTATTTGAAGTTTTCTGTTGGTATTAGTTAAAACATGTACTGGCTACTGGCATATTAGATATTAGCACATTAGCTTCAACATTAAGATAACAAACCTTTAGCATTTTTCACACTGTAGCCCGATATCCTGACTATGATAATCTCCAGCCACCTAGCCAGGGAAAGAATCTGAGCTACTGCCTCTGCGTCCTCACTGAAAACAGAAATAGAAAGCAGGTTTTACTTTAACACCCAAAGAATCACCTTAGCTTTAAAAGCAGAGGACACATTTAGATCAAAACACATTAACTCAGTATTTGCACAGTTTTGCTGGCTTTGTAAATTTTGAGCAAACGGTACAAAATGAAGTGTGAGGCTAATACTAGATCTAGGTACTTTCTCATCTGATATCAGCTCCAAAAAATAGGCAATCCAAAAATGCTTCTTAAAAAAAAATAGTAGTAATTTTGACTGCCAAAAGCAGTGAATTTGGCAGAATAGTCAATAAGGAGATATGCAGTCTTTTATACAGATTAGGAAGGTCAGCCCAAATTTCCCTTCCAAAAATTTGAAAAGTCAACCCGCCCCAAAGTAATTTTTACCTTTCTTTTTTTTTTTTTTAATTAAAGGCTATGCAATCTGGTAACTCACCTGTTGATTTTTTGAGCTTGCAATGGAACTATCGGAATCACGGTATTGCACAGAGATTTGCAAAGTGGACAAAGATACTCTCCATTCTCCAAGTCAAATATCTGTTCAACATGCAGACGTTGTCGAAAGTTCAGCTGCATAGCTTCAAAGTACCTACAACATTGAAAAGGAAATTACTAGAAAGCGGAATGGCGCAAACATGACATGAAAACAAATGTTCAAGTAACTAAAAGTGTTACTATCTAGCAAGTACCTATCCAAGCCAACAAACAACTCTTTTCCTTTGATTCATAACTCTTTCATGTGCTTGGACGTGAAAATAAAACCTTTGTGCACATACATGAACTCACGCAAAAGTGCGTGGTATACCACTCACGCAAAAATGACAGCAACTTTTCCTTGCTTTGAAGATTCTTTTAAATTTCATTAGCGTTTTTACAGACAAGCAGTCCTTAAATTTTCTACTCTTCTCTCACATCATCTTCAAAACCACAAAACACTATATCTAGTCTCTCTCATATGCAACTCATTACAGTAAGTTTGAAACAGGGATTGTACATGTTTTTATTTCAGTTTAGGAAAAACTACCGGTAACATATCATAAATGAATAATCAGCTATTCATGGCAATGACTGAGCCTCATGACTAGACAATGAAACTGTAGCCTTCTTTTAACAGGAAGAAAGGATAATTTATATTACAATATTGTACTTGAGCTATTTTAAACTCAAAAGGAAACCAAGAAGTAACTATCATCTTTTTACAGGTTTCATTATGATGTTACCCCCTCAGCAGATGCAGCAAGCCTTCAGATTTCATTAATGTCTCAGCGGTATTATTAGGAACAAGAAGATCCAACATTCAAATCTTCTTGCCTGGATACAAGCAACTAAATTCACTGCTAATGTTCAGACTGGGTATGTAGGATTTTCAAGACAGATAGGATATTACCTAACTTCCCCACTACGGTAATTACTAGATTTTTTTTATTTTTTTTTTTTTTTTAGCTTTAAATCGTACATCTTAACGGAAAAAAGAAAATCCCATTTATGTAATAAGAGAAAGTACGCGTGCGGGGGCATCTGCAGAAGTTCTAATGATTACAGAATATTTCGGAAAGTATTCTGTTACAATTTTCCCACATTCAAACAACTATGTTTTTGCAAGCAACTTCTCTTCCTCATACATGGCAGCTACAAATATATTCCATTCATTTGAACTCATACCATTTTACAGAGTATTTTGCAGTATTTTTAGGCTGCACAGATACTCTAGACAGGTGTGGCAGACAGCGTTTGGAGGAGTATTAGTAAGTTAGAATATCTGTTATGTAATAAATAAAAGACTATACTCAAACCTTCTGTGCCATCCCATATGAGAAGAGCCTGTTGTCCATTTTACTCCCATTTACCCATACAGCAAGTCATCTTTTCTTAAAAAGAGCAAGGGAACTGAGCTCCAATGTTGCACTACTTAGATCTACGCAGATGTAGATGGATCTGCCAAGAGCAGATGTATTACACTCAAGGAACATACTTCTGTATCATTTTAAGTGTGAGCACCTATTTATTCTGTACTGATGTTTTATTGTAAAAAAAAAAAAAAAATATATATACACACACACACATATAGAAAAGTAAATGATAAGCACTAGAAGTTTAGTCAGATTTTTCAAAGTAAAATGGCACAAGTACAAACAAACCTCAAGAGATTGTTTATATCATACAACAATATAAAATAGCTTGCAATTGCATGACCCAACTCTCTTTACCTGTTGATAATACTTCAGTGGGATTATTTCTATTATTATTTCACACTATTTATCTTGCTCTCTGTAATCCTACAAATATAGCTGCAACCAGGGTGACGATATTCTGCAAGCTAAGTAACTTGGTCTTTTAATATTTCAGGTTGCATTCTAATCCAACAAACTTGGTCTAAGTTGTGGGCTCCCCCAAACAACAGAAAACTAGTAAAGTCTTTAAGCACTGTAGCAATTCTTTCCTCTTACTTTTTATTATCGGTTTGTTCACTGATAGGGTAGGGATGGGGAAGAAATATCGGTAGATTTAGCCATTCATATTCTATTCTAAGTGGCCGCTTCTCATCTAAAGACTGACTAGAATAAGTCAGCTTCATCCTTTAAGCACTGACCTGGTGACAGACTTTCAGAGTCAAGGTACTGTTACTATAGAATGCTCACCTGGAAGTTTCCTACTGGTTCTCATTGGCTTGCTAAAAATAAACCTACTAGATACGCTTTCGTATTCTTGATCAATTTTACCCCATTGGTTTTATGTGCATAAGTTAGTAACTCCTTAGAGATTCTTCTTTGGGTCACAGAAGGCACTAAAAACTTTTGATGATGATTTTCTTCATCGGGTCAAAACTTCTCTTGTGCCATATTTCATTTTTAGATGAGTACAAATAGTTTTGTCTCCTTAGTTAAATATCCACTTACTGTACTGTATTTTCAGTGCAAACTTAGATGCTTTGGAAAACAGATTAATTAAAAAAAAAACCAACAAACCCCACATTAAAAGGCTGCAAAGACACATCCTTACTTCTGCCAGCAGGCTGCATGCATCACATGACCACAGCTTCCCGTGTGGGTCCCACAAGGTAAGTCAGGGTGCATGAAGAGAGGGTCTAGCGTATCTAGAAAGACACAGCAGAAAAATTACTGCAAGAACAATAATGTAGCTTCATTTCTGTTCATACTGATGGGAACAACAGTGTACACAGAACACAAGCCTTTGGATTTTATTTTCCCACAGTTCAGAGTCACATTAAAATCCCATTTGGCCACCTTTTCCAGACCAATACTCCAGCAAAGCAATCACAAGACAGAGACCACTTAAGGTACTGAAGGCTTTCGACTAATTATGAAGAAAAAGATGACAAAGGTAAAAAGCAATAGTAAATTGGTTTAAAAAAAAAAAAAAAAAAAGACTTCTTCAGTACTGGAATAGCTCTGTGGTTGGACTTGCTATCACTGAAGTTTTTAAATGTGTTTGTTATTGTATTTTTAAATGAAAGAAAGTGAAGCTACTAAGGACAAGAAAGACGAGGCATTTCTCCAACTCGTCCCATATATTTTCAAACCACTGACACAAATGGCACTGCTGAATAACAAAGTTAAGTCTATCTATCTCTTACTAATCTTGCATAATTGTTAACAGCAAACACATTACACATGCACACTCAAAGTTAGGCTTCATTTCCCCCTTAAAGATATCTAAATAGTACTGAACAACAGCAGCCCTCCAAACCTCATCTGGTGGACTGTTTATGATCTTGAACAGATACCCCTGAATTTGACAAAATGAAGAACAGGGAGGGAAAAAAAAAAAAACAAAAAAAAACCAAAAAAACCCCACCCAACCAAAAAACCCCCAACCTAGCACTCAAATTGCGCTGAAAGTATAATTCTATTTGTCAGCAGCTGAAGTTGCTCTAAATAAAATGGAGACTGAACTAAGAAAGCGAACCTTGCTATAACACTGATTTTCCACTGTCTGCGCTTCTGCTGTGGGAACAACCATTTTTCCACTTATTTAGACAGAAGAAAAAGCTCTTACATAGAATCACTGGCCTACCTACAATCCTTCTTCTAATGGATGAGCTGCAGAGGACCATGCAGCAGAGACTAAGTGCTATAAACAATATTCAGAAGTGGCTTTAGGAAAAGGAACTTAATTCCCTTCTTTCTTCAATTATTTCAATAGCGCAACATGTCACTGCAGAAAGCTTACCAGTGTATTGGGCCACAAGAGCATAGGATTTCATTTCTACTACAGAGTACCACAGAAGAGAGCAAAACAAATGGACGCAATTAGTACATGGCCTAGATAAAAATTTTATACAGCTGGCTGCAAATTGTCATTATTGGTTGTTCGCTGTTAAAAAGAAAAATGGATCAAATAGGATTCTGTAGGAGTCTGTCCTGGCTCTAGGACTATTCAGTATCTGTTAATGACCCAGAGGAGGAAACACAAAACATCTTCTTAAATGGAATAACTTGGTAAAGGTTTGCAAGTACGATAGAGAACAGCGTAATACCCTGGAGAAATAAGAAACAATGCTGAACTTCCCTTTGCTTTAGAATTCTATTTGAAAACATTCAAGAGTGTACTTCTAAAATGAAGCAGGAATAATGAACTGCCCGAACACAGAATTTAAAGCTATTTGCTAGACAGTAGTGTCATTAAAAAACTAGGGCACAGGGTTCATTTTGCTTTATGAGCTGACCACAAATCAACAATACCCTGCTATAAAATAGAAAAAAAAAAAAACCCACATTTGAAAATAAGTAGGAATTTAACCTACAAGTTGTAACATCCATGCTATGCAAACACAACAAACTAGAAAACATCCTGAGAGCACTTGCAGACCTCCAGTTTTATGATCTTTCAACACTGCATCCTTATTCCTTATATATTAGTTAGCTTGAATAAGCAGGATTTGAAAAAATGATTGACTCAGATTTACAATAAGATGTGGGCAGATACATAGAGAATGTATATTGATTAATAAATATTTAATAGATAACAGCTATTTAAATTTTTATCTGTTAAAATATATATAATACAATTTACAAAGAACTTTAACTTTTAATTATTATTTAACATTGTAGTGTGCTTGAATCAAACTAGTAATGTTATGATGAGATCTACATCTACCTCAGGGTGATTTCACCTAAACAACATTTGCCTAGGCAGTATATCAAGTAGGACAGAGCCAAAAATTCTAATAAACATGAGAATAAATTAGCTTACCTTCTCCTTACCCACAAAATCAGTTATCCTGGTCAAAGAATTAGGGTGGCTTACTAAGTTTCTTTCCTGATAAATCAATTTTTGACACTTCTTACTACTCTACTGTCTGTCTTCATTTTTTTTTTTATATTGTCTTATAAGATGATAATTACTATCATCCATCATACTTCTGTGCATCCAGGCTGGACGGAATACTCAAGTTTTTAGTACTTTCTCATTTCACTTCTGTTTTTTTGGTGGGTTTTTTTTAGACAAATACTCGTTTGCCCTTCCTAGCCTTCTGAGATTGCAACTATCTTTGCATTTTAAAAATTAATTATAGATTATACTGAAGACAATGGTTCTGATAGTACTTTCAATATTAATCATTGCCAAGGTGAATACACTGAAGTTATCTAGATATTGTTTCAACTCTTCTTATCCTATTCTGGACAGCATTTGTCTCTTGTTAAAATTTACAGCCATCAAGCATCTGATCTTGAATTACTATTAATTTTCTTCTTCAAAAAGAGAGCAAAAAAGTCAGTGAGTACTTAAGTTTTTCCTTTCCCTTCTAGTATTTCTCACGTTTAATCAACTGTTACTTACAAAAAATTCTGGTTGGTCTTTGTGTTTCCTGTTACCAACATGCTATTATGCAACCCTAATGCTTTTGTTTGTATTATTCTCTTGTATTTCCCCCCCTCCCATTCATCAGATGATATCATATGAACCTTGCTTACGCTTTTCTATTTTTTTATGTTGCTGGTTTTATTACTTCCTGGACATGAGAAAAACAAAACCAAACACAAACAAAAAACCAAATCCACCTGAGGCTGACATAGTGGCCTCTGATAATGTTCATGCATTTCCTCCATATTGGGAAAGTTTGCTGCTGTACTTGAGTCAATAGGGACTGTTAATATTCTTGGATTTTTTTCCAGAGTGACCACTCCGACCAAATCTCTAAGTTTTACAAAATCTTCTTGTGAGATTAAAGCAGTTTCTGATTTCCCGGGGACAAATTAAAATCTTCACAGACTTCTCATTTTTAAGTTTTAAAGCATGGATTTTAGAACAATTTTACAATTTTCACTTTTTATTAACTAGGGTAACTCATTTGGCAATCTGACTAAATACAGAATTTAATCACGTTCAAAGCTCTATGTACAGAACTGCTTGTAGTCTAAAAGAAGAAAAATTGCATACCCCCTGAGAGTTCAAGAATTCTGCTCCTATTCTGAGTTAAAGCAGTTGATTTCTGGACACAGGCAGACAGTACCATGGCAGCACTCTCCAACTTTACTTCCTGCTCCTCCTGACAAAGAATACAGGTCAGAACTTCTTTCTCAGCAACAGACGGACCTCGTTTGGGACCCAAAGCAATTTTGGAGTAATCAATTGCCGAAGACATGCTGTAAGACCGTAAATGACACAGATATAAAATAATCAGATAGCTTCTTCTAAACAAAATTATTCTTTCAAGTATCTAAAAATGTTATATACTGCTAACATTTCTGGTTTTATACCAAAGTGCTTTACAAAACCACATGATGACCAAACAATGAAGAAACACCTCAATCCTCACTAAAATACAGTATTTCTTTAAAAATAGAAAGTGGAAGCCAGCTAACATAGAATAACACAATGAAATGGATTCAGACAGCAGGAAATTCAGGAAGCTGTATTCAATGTAGATTGGATTAAATACATTTTAGTCATAAAAACACATTAAAAGTGATCCCCGTTCTTGAAGAAAACATACTGAAAATGAATGTCACTACCTTAATTCAATGCT